CCTTCTTTGCAAAGAGGAATCATCCAGGTCTTGTGACAAAATCCCTCTGTGTAATTTCTGTGGGCAACTTCTGGGCACGTGATCCAACAAAACCAAACTACAGGGATTTAAGGAATTACTAAAGGTGCCCTCCTATCATGTACCCAGCAGCAAGTCACAATCCAACATCTTTTAAACCACAGCCAAGCTGCCCGGAGCTAACGTGTTCTCCTTGCACCCAGACAGGGAGCAGGGACCTTCACGGTGGATCAGCAGATGAGCTAGTGACCTGTTGTACTGCTTGAACTCATGATCAGGTTGGATTGCAAGTCTTGGCTGTGGTTTACAAGCAAAGAGCATCTATTTTCTGACAAGTGATCCTGCAAAACACGGCTAGCGGTGTAAGCCCGGTGCTGCTTGTGTGCTTTGCTGCTCTTGGTGGCTTCGCGTAGACCGTGTGTGGTGGAACAGAGAGAAGAGACCTTGCACGCTTAGGGCTGCTGGCTCAGGGGGTCACAAACCACCCCCAAACATACTTTTGTCATCAACATTACAGGATCCAAAGCCTGAATTTCTCCAGGAAGGGGGCCTAGAAGACTGGCGTAACCAAGACGCAGCCACTCGAGGGAGAAACCTGCAGCTTCTTGGTGTCAACAAAGCAGAAGGATGCTTCTGCTGGGAGTCACCTGGTGACTGCAGAGGGGAGAAAACCTCAACAGCAAAATGATGGCACGACATTCGGCACGCAGGAGAGGGAACTTGTGAGCCCTCTTACCTTGAAAGGGGAGCGATGGAGCCTTTCAGGGGCTCAACTCTCACAGAGGCATTGCATCCCTCTGGATAGAGGGAGTTTTCTCTGAAAGCAAACGTGAAGGCTTCCTTCTCACTGTTGATCATATAGACAGTCCGGCGTGCCTTGTGCCCTGGTGAGAGGACAAAGCAGTTGCTGAAAACCTTTTCTTCCTCTGGCCACTAGAACACTGCTGCCCACTGTACTCCTGACTTCTGATTCCTGCAGCCCATTTCCTGTGAGGAGCGTTGCCTGCAGCGTGGCACGCTCTGAATGCCAACGTGAAAATGCACTTCTGACCTGCTGGGCTCCCCGGCACCACCCTCAAATCCCCAGTTGTACGCTGTCCCCTAGACACGTGCCTTCCTCCCTTCCCCTTCCTCTCCCTCGTACACTTGGGTGCCAAGAGCTGGATGATCTGCTCACAAGTGGCCTTTTCCATTTCCAGCTTCTTTGTTGGAGCCTTGCTGGAGCAACGGGAATGCTGGGGCCCAGCAGAACTCCACATCTGAGGGTGTAAGGAATAAGCACAGTGCTCACCGATTAACTGCAAGTGGAAATTCAGGTGGGATCTGTCCAGAGTCACTAGCGGGTCGGTGGCATTGCCAACCAACAGGAACGGGAATGACATGCTCTGCTCAGGGACTGTGAAGAGCCAGAACGATTCTGTGATGTCCAGGTGTCGGGGGATGAATTCAAACTTCATCTAGGGGAGAAAGAAGCAAATGAAGGAAAGGGTCAGGGGAGGGGGTGCAGCCTAATACCACCTAGAAACTCTAGGAACCTCCACCTTATGCTGCTGTGAGCTCAGAGATAGGCTGCTCTGTCACTTGTGGCCCAGCAAAGTGGCAGATGTGGGGTGCAGGGCGAGAACAGGTTCATCTGCCAGTTCATTTACACTGCAATCAAACATTTTTTTGGGGTCTTGGCAAGCTCACGATGAGGCGGGACGCCCAGTAAGTGTAGACACAGCTGCTGTTAAACTGCCACGCACATGTACTGCATCTACCTCCTTAATTTTCTGCACCCACCTCTGCTTTCTTCCCTGGTTGGATCCGACCTCTCTTTGTGAGGCAGACGAAAGCCACCTGCTCTCGTGGGGCTTCACGGTCTTGGCAAATCCACTGGAAGGAATATGCGGAACTGGTTGGGTTCATAACCACGAAATTCCTGGGAACGCAAAGGAAACAGGACTGCTAAGGTGGCGTTGAGATGTTAACGACTCCGTTCTGCAGCAAACGTCACGCACTGCCAAGTCCTGGACACCATCTGGAAGGAGTTATCTGGAACAGGGGAACAACGCTGGGAGCCCAAACATTTCACCTGTTTTCTAGGGGCCCTCGTTGTCTCCCAGGTGTCTATAGATTAATGGCTATCAACAAAGAAACTGGCAAGGACATAGGCAAACTCTTGCACGTTAAAATGGTAAGATCAAGCGAAAATGGTGAAATCAAGTCCAGCAAGACTCCTTGGGAAACCTCTCTACTCTCTGCTGTGGTTGCAGCCTCTACCAACCACGTCCAACTGGTATCTCGGAAAATGAAGAATGTCCCAAGGATGGTCTTCAAAGAGACAAATGTACTGGCCACAAAGTATTCCCCCGAGATGGAACCATACCTCATTGAAGAAAGTAATCAAGAGACCAAAAAAATGAGTCAGTTGGTCCAGTGACCAGCTTGTTCTAGCCCCAAACAGACGGCAGCCAAGCAGCAGCACATCACAGACAAGGTACAGGTGTGCCCCGGGCTTGGAGGAGTAGCTGGAGAGGTCTTTGGTTAAGGGGGATGACAAAGAGATCGCCAACAGGGAAAGCCATGCCCACACCTACCTGCTGTCCCTGCCGCACACTCCAAGGGTCACAAACTCAACCACTCTTGTGTTGAGATCTAACGCTGCCCCCTTGGGTCCCGGCAATTTGGCGTTGCGCCTTTTTGCAGTGATGTAATCCGAGTCTTCCAGTTCAAAGTGGCAGCTTGGCATCAGGCTTCTCCCCTTCACAGCCACCTCTGGCCTCTTCTGGTCTGGCTTCAGGTTAGGAATACTAGGAAGAAAGGCACCCGTATTAAGCCAGACTAACATTTCCAGCCAGTCAGCTGCTCGCCTGTCTCCTCATACAGCACATTTGTCCCCCTCCAGGAGGCTTAATATTTCATACAACGTCTTTTCCTGGTGTCTCCATACCTGCTTCTACCGAGGCCAGATGATCATTCTCCTCTTCTGCTGCTTTTCTGGGGATGGCTGTCCCCAGGTCCTCGCTCCCGCTCCCCCCAGCTCAGAAGCAATACCATGACTATCCACCACGAGTTGAAAAGTGAGCAAGCCTGGACATTTCTTACCTGCAGAGCATCCGTCTTTCGAAGTTGCCTACGTGCACCGGAGAGAACTTCATCTGGAAGAGCTGCTTGCGCCCTGCAGGGATGATGCCGCTGCAGGGCTCCACGGAGAACAGCGGTCTGGCACAGACGGTGCTCAGGGACAAGCTTGAGGAGGAGGAAGAGGCCTGCTCCAGAGCACAGCCCAGCTGGCTCGAACAACGGCTGGGCTGGAGCATCACAGAGGCACCAGAAGTCGAGATGAAATCCCCTGTGGTAAGAAAGAGCAGGACATCTTTCAAGGAGAACAGCCGCTGGTCCCAGCACCTCTGCCTCTTGCTGCAGGTGGACACAAGGGAGGTGGGATGTATCTGGAGCATCCCTGGCCAAGTGCTTTCAAGCAGGAGGACTCCCAGTAAAGAACAGGGAGAGCAGGCAGTTCTTTTTTTTTGCTTTTGCATTTCCGTTCGCTAAATTGGCGTCCCAGAAAATCCCAGAGATGGGTGAGAAAGTGAGGACAGGCAGGAGGGAGAACAGAGTGGGGGCCAGCAAATGCAATGAAAAGCCCCAGCAGAGACCCAGAGAACTGCCCGAATCAAAACACACCGCGCGACACTCAGGTGATGGACAGGAAGGCTCAATGTTAGCAAATTCAACGGCCAGCTGCTTCATCTCTCTCCATCTCCGGGCCTGGGGAGCCAGTCGCAAACTTCTCCTGCCAAATGGTTTCTGGCCAGTCCGTGCCAAACCATGTCCAGGAACAGCACGAGGTATCTGTGTTACAGCCCCTGGGGAGATTTCTGGGTGCTGGTTCACACTCCAGTACAGCCAGCCTCAGCGCTTAGCATTAAGGACAGCGTTAAGTCCTGCTCCCCTGTGGCCTGCAGAACCGAATTTTGCTCGTTGTGGCTTTGGGGAACAGCTCTGCTCTGTCCTTCACACCCTTTCCCTTCCTTCCTCTCTGTCAGGCTTTCATACCCAACAATCAGACAGCGAATGGCACAGCCCAGAACAGCAGCTACAGCACCAGCATGCCCTGTGCCGGGCAAAGGCAACAGCAGGACCCCCAGGGGACGGAGATAAGCACATTCAGAGCAGCAAGAACTTTGGTTGAGGTCTCCTGACCATCAGGCAAGCTGCCCGGGCCGGGAAACACGAGGGCTGACAGCTCTCCTTACTCCTCTTCCTGATGAGACCTCTCACACACACAGTCCTGTGTCGCCGCAGAACCACGGCGGCTCCCAAGGAGACCGCGGGCTCGGACACGACTGAATCGCTGCAGGTTGAAGAGTCGTTCGGGGATGAAGAAGCAAGTCACGTTTTGCGGTCAAGCGGCACGGTCTTCTCCCCAAGCCCTCAGCTGCCAAGTGAAACACCCTGGGCACCCCAAGCTGCCACGCAGAGCCAGTCTCTTACCGTCTAGGCTGGGTGGGAGCAGCTCCCCGGTACGGCTCACTGGCCTTTCTTCCTCCACAGCTGCCATCGTCCAGGTGTATTCCAGGGCCACATTCCCTGTATTGGACAGCTGGAAACTGAAAAGCAAGGAGGAGGAATAAAAAGAAAGCATCCAATAAATATAAAGTTGAGTAGAGAAGCAGCACTGTAGGGTGGGCTCCTGGCACCCCTTTCTTTATGCTGAGCAGCATCTTCTTCCCCAGACAACTCTGCCCTATCGAGATCGTTGCCCTGGGCTGCCCCGAGACAAAGGATTTCCGAAATTAAAGAGGGAAGAGCAGTCACGGTGCCCACAACACTTGATCCAAGGGGCTTATTCTGGTCTTTACATCTCAGTTTGATATTATCATAACTGCAAACTCATCCTCGAGCAGACGAGGACAGACAACACACAACGAGAGCAAAATCACGGCTGTGCTCAACAGTAAGACATCAAACCTCTCCTGGCACATCTTGGCAGGATGGTGGCCACCATCTCCTGCTTGGCTTTGTGTGCACATACATGCCAGGACTTGGAAAGGCTGAATAAATAATTTGTTAAAGGGCTGAACAGCCAGTGAGACTGAACATAAAGCCCTAGGAGGGACTCATGTCCATGTGAGGGAGATTCTCCAGGCCCTCGGGATGTGTGGAAGCTGCAACCTCAAAATCAACAGGCAGCAGCACTCCCTCCTGCTCCGAGGTTGATCAGCCTGTTAGAAATTTGAAGAGGTTTACTGAGCAGTCAAGCAAAAAACATGTCAGCGTAACCTTTGTTGGCACAAGACCATGAGCAGAAGGAAAAGCAGGGGCACCAGAGAGCACAGCACAGCTCTGGGGAAGCAGACACTGGGTCAGGTGCCTGCCTGGTCTTCCACACTCACGCGAACGTCCTCGTCTGGAAGAGCAAGGTCTCTTTGAACTCAATCACGTCCAGATCCAGCTTGAACTCGGCGTAGTCGACGGCAGCGCTGACGCAAAGCTCCACCTCACGGCTGCTCTCCTCCAGGACCGTGTGAGCTGGTTCTGGGCCTGTCTCAATCACCTCCAAAGAGAAGAGGGAAGAATCACTGAGCAGAGCTCGGAAAGCCAGGCTGAGCAGGGTGTCGGTTGGCCTCCAAAACCAGCCACATACGGGGGCTAGAAAGGATCACTCCTATTTATTTCCCTGGAAAGATGACAAAAGTTGACCCTTCTGCCACAGTATTTCTTTCTACCTACTGACCAAAGCAATCACCACCATGACTGCGAATACACCCGTGGGGACTATGACCACGTACCAGTCCCTGTAGAGTATCTGATGCTTTCCCTGGGTCCCTATACATCCAGCAGGCCTCTAAATCAGGATTAAGATCCCTGGGTGGAGCTCCGTGGAGAATCCCAAGAATGAACAAACCCAGAAAGCACCTTTTTCCTTCTTGTCTCAGGAGAAGAGGCTTTTCAGTGGTCTCGTGTGGGTCAACAGCCACACTGGTCAGGACTGGGGATGGGAAATGAACTCACTAGGGATGTCCCTGACTGCTCTGATGGGGAAGAAGTTGGGTTAAAGGTTTTACAGTGGTTCAGAAACTACAGAAAAGCCCTCACTTGAGATAACAGGAAAAAGCAAGAGTATCATCTCCAGACTCCTGTATGACTGCCACGGCTGGGCTGATCCATAATGAGGTATCTTGAACAACTTAAAAACCACAACCGAAATCTCTGGTATCAGGGTAGACAGAGCTCAGAGCTCACCCACGACGTGGTGGGCCAGCCAGCACACGTAGAATAGCATAAAAAACATGAGACAGAGTGGTGGGTTTAACTCCTTATTGGTGAAGAGAACCTGGTTCTACACAGGCTGCAACGCTCAGTTTGCAATGTGCCTGAATGTCTCCTGTCAAAAAGACTTCCCCGTCTCGTGCGGGCATATCAAGGTGACCGTGTACCCACCTGTCCCCCAAAACACTCTGCTAATCACCCTCACGGATAGATGGAACGTCAGGAGGAAGCAGGAGCCGCTTACTCTGCTGAAATGGCAGCTCTTTTTTCGGTTTCACTGTCGTGCTTCTTACCTTCTTCTTGACAGGCCACTTTGCTCCCGGCTCCTTCCCAGCATCCACCCACTTGACGACGCGCAGGCAGTCATCCCAATCGGCAACCTGCTCCGGTGGCAGCTGGAAGGCGATCCGGGACACCTTACACTTCACAGGCTGCCTTTTGAAGGTGACCGCGACGTCCGATTTCAAGGTGACCGTGATGTCCTTAGCACAGCCAGCATGGAGGTGTCCCACCTAGAGAGAACCAGAGAGCCAAGATCAAACTGGAATGACCAGCAAGGGCAGGACTGAGAGCAAAGGGGCTGAGGAGCTGTGCCAGGAATCCACATTTTACCACGCATTTATCTGACGATCGATAGAGAAAAAGAGAAACAAAAGACTCCACCTCTCACAACACGGAGCCTCTTCTGCGGGGCTGACAGTCCTGCCCCAGCAAGGCCAGGGATTGCATCTCCTACGTGGGGAGAAACGCGCCGGGCAGGGCTCGAGCAGCGGGAAAGGCAAAGCCATCCAAGCTCACCTGGGGGGAGAAGTGAAGGGGGGCGCTCGCCAGCCACTCGAACCGCATCGCCTCCAGCCTGCTGTGATTCGTGACGGTGAAGGTCACGGGGTAGGGCGTCCCAACGTGACAGTCCCCAAACTGGATGTGATCCACTCCGGCGGCTGTTAAGAATGAGAGCAAAGGCATCTCAGCCTACGTCCGACCCCTCCTTGCTCTGAGCCTTCCTCCCTCTGGGTGATGAAGCTCCCCATCCCACCGCTTCCCATGGATCTGCCTGTTTCCACTTGGCAGCCTCTCCTCTCTTACCCTCAATTCTGTCTCCCTCAACGCTCTCCTCCGTTCTGTCTGCCACTCGTCCGCGGATGTTCTCTAGCGTGAAGTCATCCTCATAGCCTTCACCCACCAGATGAATATCGGTCTCTTCATAGGGGTTGTCCACCACGGACAGGTGGATCTTGCCTTCCACGCGTTGGGCCAGCGTGGGTTTGAAAAGCACGTCAAACTCCGCCAACTCCCCGCGCTGCAGGGCCAGGGATGCGGTGTGAGGCTTCCTCGCTGCACAGCAACGGAGATCAGAAAGAGGAGGACACGTTTCCATGAGGTATAAGAGGAACAAGAGATTGAAACCCTCTAAGCACAGGTTCTCCCACCAATGGTTCCAACATTCACAAAACTATGACACCACCACACCTATCACTGATTAAGCGTCTCAGGTTAACGCCCAGCTCTGTCTCAAACTGCACCCTGCCATAAAGTTGAGGTAAAGAGTGGGTTGGGCTTTCGTTGGCTGGCTGTGGGCTCGAGGCTGGTAGCTCCCCACACGCAGCAAAGACCTCAGGCAGTCCACTGAAATGGTGAGAGTCCCCCACAACCCCACCCACCACGTCCAGAAGAAGAGAAAAACTTCCTACAGCTCGCTAGGAGGAAAACCTGCCGAGCCCATGTGAAAAAACAGAGGTGCAGAGAGCCTCAGGGAAGGAAATTCGGTCACACATCTGGCTGCTACTCGGCCAAACCAAGAGCAGAGCACGCATTTTCACCCCGTGGGTGACCACACCTCATGGTTAATGCATTTACCTTCTCTGGGAGAGTCCTTCTTCACACCCGCAGCTTGGTAGGGTCTGGCTTCCAAGAAGAAAACTCCCCCTTCATCCAACAGGTCTATCGTCAACTGAGAAAAGGGAACACAGAGCACAATAGCAGCGGCGTGGGTACAGGATGACACATGGATTGTCACCGCGCTGCTGCTGGTCCATCATGAAGAACCCAGCACGCTTCCCTCTTAGCACAGGGTTGAAGTGAAATCAGACAGAAAAAAAAAAAAAGTGTTCAGAGGCACTGGCACATAATTAAAATGTAACCAAACAGGACAGGAAGTACTAAAAGTAATGAGCAGAATTCAATTAAACTACGACTGAGTTTAATTAAAATGTAGTAAAGACAATCTACTGTAACTAGGGCATCGCAAACGCCCGCGTGAGAACCAAAAAGTGAGAAGAAAGAGGGGAAAACGCACCACCAACTTGCTTGTGGTGTGTCTAACTGAAAAGGACAGACTGGGCCCAATAAAATGAAATTAAAAAATAAATCCCATCTCCAAGAAGAACTCCCTTCCTGGAGAGTCAGTCATTTGCTTAAAAAAATGTTTTGTACCCAGGTCTGCCATGTTTTCTGGGATCTTCCTTCCAACGGCACAAGGATTTGTTGCCCAACCAGAGCATTCCCTGAGCAGCTCCTCACCTGGACAGGTACGACGCCATCGTTACGAAGGACCAGAGGGAGTTTTTCCGAGTCCCCCAGCAACAGCTTCTTGAAGAGCAGCAGGGGGTTCCCTCTCTTGCTGCGAAGGACCGGGCGCAGCACTGTCACCCGGGGCAGATTCCCCTCTCCGCTGATATCGAAGGTCAGTCTTTGGGCTCTGACTGCTGCAGGGCTGCAAGGAGAGGCAGAGAAGACACCGTGACGGCTGGCACGAACCCAGCTCCCACTCGGCAACTGAAGAAGTAAGAGCCACCTGCTGCTTCTTCCCTGGCTGCTGCTCCTGTACCCCAACGACCCAGCTCCCCCTCGCCCCTCTCTTCCCAGTCCCATTGGGGCCGTCCTGCTCTGAAGCTTTCCAGAATAAGAGAAATCATTTCACTTCACCGAATCACACGCAGGGCAGCAGGTAAACTCCAAGAACGCAGATGAGACGCGGCAAATTCCCCGGCTGTGGTGATCGGAGACGTGCGAAAAGCACGAGCACAGCACGAAAACGGTATGAAAAGCAAAAGAAATAACACCATCAGTAACGATTATTTCCAAGGACGCTTCAAAAATGAATTGCTTATTAGGGCACAAAGCTGACTTATCTTGTCCCAGTTTGGTGATAAAGGGTGGGAGAAGAGCAGGTCATCCAAACACAGCTCCCAGGACAGAGGAACTGGGAGCCTCTTTCCAAAGACATCCCATCGCTCTTTTGACATCAAACACCTTTATATACCCACAGGATCATCTCATTTCAGCACAGACAAGGAGGAAATAACGCACGCTGACTTGCTGGCAGAGAAACTGCTGCATCTAATCCTTTGCCCTTGCCCAGATGCTGCACAGCTCCCTATTTACCCGATTCCTTAACTTCCAGCTGGCTTCCTAATATTTCATAGTCACTCCTACAGGCTAAACTACGACCCTTACTTTCCTGCTCTCCTATATCTAGTAGTTACTGCCTCCTTTATTATTTAAATACTCTACCTAAGGGTTAACAAGAGGTCTGCATCCTCCCAGAGGAGAGGCAGCTATCACAGAAAAGGCGTCCCCCAACATTTCCCAGGGTGGCTTACCTTGCCTGAACGTCAAGGGAAGCCTCAAAAGCGCACTGGTAGCTCTGCATCGCCTGCGGAGCGAAGCTCACCGTAGCAAAGGCGTGAGAACGGCTGGGCACGCACATCCGGACGGGATCCACCTCGAAAGCATCGCCGTCGCGGCTGCCGGCCTTGAGGGGAACCCGCGGAGCGGCGTTAGGAGGAAGCATCCTTCAGTGTCATGCAGCCTTATTCCTATCTGCACGCCCCAGAGAGCGTGGCTGCCTTCCTGCTGCCCTGGACAGGCTGCTTCCAGCTCAGGGAGAGACTCCAAAGAAGGGCTGACCTCGCACAGGGAGCTGCCCTAAAGCTCAGGAGGGTAAAAGCTTGCTTTGAGCACCGGGCAGCCACCTCAGCAGACACAAGAGGTGAGGAATGCATGGAAATCCTGCAAATAACCTAGAATTGGATTTCCACCAGAAAGGAAAGACTAGGGAGCCTGAGAAAATGGTCTGCTTTGAGCCCTGGCACATCAGCTCAGTAAAAGCCCATCCCTGAGTGTGCTTCTAAGGGTTCAGAGAGCTGGATGAGCTAAGAAATTGCTTAAAACGCATGGAATTCAACCCAATTACCTGCTGTCCCCTGTAGTTTGACCTGCACTGAGCTGGACTAGCCCAGGCAAGAGGAATTTGGAGAACAAGGCAGGCTATCACACCACACCACCTTTAAAGACCAATCGCCACCGAGGTCTCTTGTTCTTACCTTACCAGGGACGGTTTTGATGGAGAGGATCACATCACAGGGAACTTTCTCCACGTTGCGGATCTTAAAGCGAGCCGTGGCCCGGTGCCCAACCAGAACACCCGTGAAGATGAACTTGTTTTCATCCGTGACAAACACGCCCTTGTCTTGCACCGTCTGCAGGATCCGGCAGAGGTTGACGCTGCTGCAGATTCGATGCTCCTCAAAGATGGACTCTACATCGTCAACCACAAATGCTGCAAAGCAGACCAGAGGGAGGTTGGAGGATGGAGAAAAGCCTGCCTGCTGAATTGATCTGGACCCCGCTGGCCTCTCAAGAAGGCTTGATAAGCCCTTTGTGCCCAAGTCACTGCAAAACCCAACCCTGGGTGGGAGAGTCGGCTCTAAGGATGGAATTCAGACACCCTCTGTCTTAAAATGTAGAGAAGATTCCCTTTTATCTTTCCACACATCCCTCCCAGTATCTCCTCACCAGTAGACTTGAAAAGGATTGGAACCCCTGGTGATTTCAAGGTGGGACTTTAGGGTCAGGGTGTCTTCTCTGTCCCAGGAGTAAGTTCGGGTGCTAATCAGCAGCAGGGTCTGTGGGCAGGACGTACCTGGGAGGCAGGATTCGGCAAACAGGGCGTAGGGGATGCCCAGGGGATTGTCCTTGGGGTCTCTGTTGGTGATATCAATGGTCAGGTGCTCCTTGCATGTCCCCACTGGCTCCGCGTAGCAATCTACTGTGATCACCTGCTGGCCCCCAGGAGGGATGGAGCCAAACCCAGGGTACACGGTGAACATGCCTAGAGTGAAGCGAGCCTGCGGAAAGAGCCCCAAGAGAGGCTGATGTCCAACAGCCTTCCCTTGAGTGTCCCCAGCAAGGGATATGCCCCTCCTTGGCCTCCAGCACCCAAGCACCCAGTCCCAGGGCAGGCAGGGATGACTCCATGGTCCAAAGGCAGCCCCAGGACGAGATGAACAAGCCAGGAGGAGCTGCAGGCTTGTCCCAAGTGGCACAGAGGAAGGAGTTTGAGTGTAAAGGGTGAAGGTGGCAGCTGGGATCCTTCAACCTCCGGGGATAAAACAGGAGAGCAGAAATAACGGTGAGAAATGACGGGAGAGAAGAGAGGGGTTTGGGAAGGTGGTCATCTGCTATCTACAGACCGGGAGTTCAAACAGGGATGTTTTACATCTGGGGAATTCACGGATCTATTTTGGCTTGCAGCTACCAAACACAGGACCTGCTACCCTCTGCCCTCTCTTGACCCCGTAACTCCAGGTCTGAGCCAGAGCACAACACTGTTCGGTGGGACTGAGCAGCTCCTGTCCTCTGCTCGTGGCTGGGAGACAAGGGACCTCCATCCCCCAGACCACATCCCATCCCGCGGTGATGAGTGGGCACAGCGGCACGTGTCGGGGAGCAGGAGGCACCCACCTGCATGAAGAGGCTGCCCTCCCTGTACTTGCTCTGCCCGGTGAAGGGAACCGTTTTCTTTAAGTTCTCATGCTCCTGGGAGTGGGTGGATTTCATGTGATGTGCACTAGAGGAGAAAGCAGAAGATATCCGTCACTCTGAGCTCCTCCTAGCCTCCCTCTCCACGAAGGAAAGTCCTCCTGCTCCAGCGGAGCTGCCTGCACCACTTCTGCTTATGGACAGATCAGCTCTGTCACCAGTTTTGTCCTACACATGGGGAAACTGAGGCATTTTTCTGCTCACAAGCGACGCAGATGGACAAGAACCCAGCCGTCCTGGCTGCCTGGCACACACCAGCCACGCCGCGGTGCGTCCTGCGGCAGGAAGGATGGGGAAGGTTTTCTCTCACCTTGTCCTTGACAACTCATGCGCATCCTGGTCTGCAGGGTAGATGAAGAAATTAAAATCAAGGACGCCTTTGTTCTCCAGCGTGAAGGTGCAGGTTTTCCTGGTGCTGCTGATCATGGCGCCGAAGCTGATGCGCGAGGCTGGGTAAATGCTGTACTTGCTGAACACAGCTTTGGCAGACACCCTCACCGGGATGATGGCGATGGCCTCGCCTCCTTCGCGGATGCTGGGCTCAATCACCTGCAACCAGAGGCTCGTAAATACTTCAGCGACCAGCCTCTATCTCTGTCCCCTGACCCCATCCCAGGTCCCATCAGCTCAACCTTTCCTCTTTCAGCACCTCCTCCAGAGTCAGATTTTCAGCTCTGCTTAGGAAGCCTCACAACGGGTTCTGAAAGCCTTTTTTGTATTTGGATAAAAGAAGATTCCTCACCTAAAGCCTTCCTTCCAGAAGACACGTGTCTCACACTCCCTAGACACGGCGTGCCGACGCCGCCCAGCCCCAGCAGCTCACCTGGCAGTGCAGGATGGGTTTCTCCTCAATGGTCATTTCCATCTTGGGGTGGAAGCGCAGCTGCACCTGCACAGTGCGCTCGGAGGGAGCCAGCACGCCGCTCTGCGGCTGCACAGTGAAGTGGGATGCCAAGTCGGGTATGTCGGTATCTGCCGCCTCCAGCTTGAAACTGGGGAGAAACGGAAGGAAGACCTCTGTAATCCTGCTCGGAGTTGGACCAGAAGAGAATTAAAAGAGAAAAAGCCCAGCTCTGCTTGAGGGATCCCTAAATTTCAAGGTCTCTCCATCCAGTTCCTGCCAAGCTGCGGAGAACTGCTGGCATGTGGCTGGATTCTCTGTTAAAATACTTGAGATTAGAGAGCCCAATTTTCATATTTACCCAAGACCGTGAGGCAGCCAGCACAGGAGCAGGTTCTAGCCATGGACAGAAGGAGAATGCAGGCCTGGGCAGATGGTGGCACCATGTGCTCACAGACCAGCAGCTGGACCCACCTGTATGCAATCTCGTACTTCCCTTTGTTCTTCAGAGTCAGCACTGCTTTCGCCTCATCCATCACCTTAAGGACTCCAAAATCCATGCTGCCATCTGTACCTGCAGAGAACCCGCAGAGTGAGGTAAGAAATGGTGAATATTTGTGAGCTGCTGCAGACCACGCCAAGTGACAAGACACGTATTTGGAGTTTTCAGGTGGCACAAAACCCTTCTCAGCAAGTTTCGACTCTTGGAAGTTTTCTCTAGCTACTTTGCTGCCCCTTCTCTTCTTGCCCAAAGAATACTCATAGGGTTTAGCAGCTAAGGAGCTCGGTTTCCATCTCCTTGCTTCCAAACAGAGATCCAACAACTTCATGTGCTGCACCGAGCCTTCAGGAGCTGCCAGCGCTTGCTGATGTCCCTGCTGTTTCAAAGCCCCCAAATTGATCCGCATGTGAAGGTGCACACTTCAAAGTTCAGAGGTGAGACACTCAGGCCTAGCTGCGCCCTGAGAGTGCTTTACTCACATAGTTTGCAGGATACGTGCATTACATACCCATGCTATGCTTGCATCCCATCCCATCCCATCCCATCCCATCTCATCCCATCCCATCTCATCTCATCCCATCCCATCCCCATCCATCCCATCCCATCCCCATCCCCTCCTCTTTGGCTGCCCACCTGCCGAGGCAACGCAACACACCTGGACTCCTTCGGTCTGAAGTCATCCGCTGACCCTTAGAAATGCTGATGTTCAGAGCAACGTCATAAGCCTCGGCAAGGACTTGGATATTTTCAGTCTGAACAACCCCCAGGATGTTTTCTGCATCTGAAACCTGAGGCAGCAAGAAACAAACACTGCTGAGGTCATTCTGCTGAATTGGGTAGACAAGACAGGGGCCCTTTTCTCTGCTGGCTGTCCCCACCATGGCCGCACTGGAATGCAGCCCCTAAACCACAGGGAAACAAAAATCTCAGGGTGAGAGCTTGCTGCCCCTTGTTAAGAGCCCCAGATGGACTCCAGGGTGGGTGCAGGGAGCCTGCCAAAGTCTGAACAACCAAAGGACAGCGCTCGACCATGGTGGCTGTAGCACGGGCTCAGGAATCAGCCTCGTAACCCAGGTGTTAGGCAAGAGAGGAATCTCCTGAAGGTTCCTCTTTCCTGCCCTCTTTGCAGGGTACCCTTCAAGCATCGCCTCCATGCCGAGAGGCACCGGGCTGATCGCTCTGCCCTGCTCTGCCAGGGAGGCACAGAGGTTGGAAGAGACCTCGAAAGATCATCTAGTCCACGTAAAAAGCCAAGCATATCTATTTGGCTGCATGGAACAAAGGCAAGTACCTGAGAATAAATACCAGATCCTGACTCATCCACGGACAGAGCTGTTTCTACTCTGATTTGTACTATATCCACGCCTGCTTTTAATCCTGACCCTTATTACTAGTTGATAGCGATGTTCTTCAGGCACTTCCAAGAAGCCCTTAAAGCAACTGCCAGAATTAAATATTTGTGGTTGTTTCTCCTCCCCACAACGAACAGCACATAAAAGTTCTACTGCCTCACTGTGCTTCTGAGAAAGGAGAGGGCATGTGGCTTTCTCCTCCCCTCTTCTCTATGTTAAGAAACAACTCCTGAAACTCGGAGCTGGTGCTAAATTCTAACCACGAGGCTACAAAAATTTCCCTTGTGCTGGCATTAAATAAACGCAAAAGCAAATCACTACAGGACAGCTGTCAGTATTTGATTTGTTTGCCCCCCTCACCTCCAGGTGGATCATTTTCTTCACGCTGAGAGCCTTTGTGGCCTTGAAATAGAGATGCACGCCAAACTCCGTGCAAGGACCAACGATGCCCTCGCTTTGCGACAGGGAAAAGTCCTTGCCGAGGTTTTCCAGCCCGCTGAGGCGCCAGGCGAAGGGCAGCGGGGTGCTGTTGCGCAGGACCAGGGTCCTGCTCTCCCTCCTGCAGACACACAAAGACACACAGCGCCGGTTGCTCGACAGTCAATGCCAGCCTTGCAAGCGAAGGCGACTCAGGGAAGGCCCATCCACGCGTTGGAAACCAGAGTTAGATGTTGCTTTGTCACAAGTCTCAGAGGTGAGGTCCTGGAGGAGAGCTGGGTGCTAAAAGCATGCCCAGCAGAAGGGAGACAAGGAGAAGCAGCTGGACTGCTCTCTGAACCAGCAGGTGAGATGCAAACCCATCGGGGGACATGGGATTTCTAGGGGGGCTCCAGAGCTGGTGGGCTGTCATGGGATCTCCAAACCAGCAAAGAACCATGAGCAAGAGACTGGGAACTGCTTGGAGAAAAGAAGGATGTGAGCCCAGCCTTGGAGAA